CGGGAACCTTCTCTTTCTGCGCCCATACTATTTTACCCAATTTTAGGGGCATCGCAATATAACCTGTTTTGCGAGGGTCGGCCAATCCCCTGGCACTGAGAAACCGTAGGACTTTCCCTCTAGGGGCCCTTCGGATTAAAACCCGATGTGCCAGGCAATCCCCCCACCAGGACACTATGTGGGTGCGCTGCGTACGGGTGTGTGTTTAGTGCAGGGGCCTGGAGGAAATCGCGGCGCTTGCGGAGTTGCTCTGTGGTCGCGGCACCACACACGCTGCTCACACACAGCCACCACTCGCCACCAAGTGGCGGTGGCGTCAACACAGTACTTGTGTCAGACTAGATGCATCTTGAGGCCACGTCAAGTGTCGAAGACTCTCTGACAGGGGATCACGGGACAGACACAGATATACCATGAGTTGACCGAGACGATTAACATTGCACAACCCCTCAACACACACGCAGCCACACAGCATCACAAATATACACGCAGACACACCATCACCAGTACAATTACAAATTACAACCGCTGTTCACCACCAAGTGGCGGTCACGATGAAAAAATGCCTTTTGGGTGATTCGGAGACCTACTTCCAAATCGCAACTTGTCACAAGCACACTGCCCGGGTACGGAAATGTCTCCCACTCTCTGCACAACTGCCCCATTGCTTCTGGAGAGTGGAGGCAGTATTTGATGACATAGGGTACTCAGGCACGTGATTTATTTTTATGAGGCTGATGACAAGGCCAGGGCCAGATTTAAGGCACGGGCTTTAGGGGCTGCAGTCCAGGGGCTTCCGCCAGCTGGAGGGCCTCCAGAGATTAAGTGAAAAGTTATTTCATTTGAATGCTAAATTGTATTTGTTGTTAGCCTTGTAAAAATATTTTTTTCTTTAACTTTGTTTTCCTTTTGAAAATATTACTGGGGGCCTCACAGTACCTGTAGCCCAGGGGCCTACAAAATCTTAATCTGGCCCTGGGCAGGTTAAAAAAGAACTCAGAATCAGCAGCATTTACAAGATCATCCACAAAACAATGGTCGGCCAATCGGGAGCCATCTCTTGATCGTACAAATAAACACGCTGCGACTCAAAGATTCCCTGTGTAGCCTAAACAGACTATTGTGGAAAGTGCTGTTAGAGAGTAGCACCGATGAAGGCTGGCACGGCACACGATAGATACAAACTCTCTCACAAGCTTGAAGACAAATACATGCCCTCACAAACTTGCACAAATATGTGCACGAAAAAACAAACATACACACACTCACGTTACTTTAAAATCGTAAATCACTAATACAAGTTACCTCAGCCACAGACCGGAGCAATGACATCACGACAGCTATGTTGCGTCAGGCTTTTTGTCCTGGCAGCTGATTGGCCGCTGTAGCGGAAGTGATGATGTAATCCGGAGCTGCTCCTGAGTGCCTGAGACAGACGCGCAATCCGTGTTTCGCGTTTTGCGGGGTCTGTGCGCGCATCGCGGGCTCATGCGAGGAGGATTTACGGCATCTTTCTGTGTTCAAGCCGCAAGCACACGATAAAACGCTCGTGTCCACCGAAGGTGACACGGCCACTGTGAACCCACCGGTCCCGTCCCGGCTTTAACTCGAAGACTAGCAATGCTATTAAGTGCAGAGCATTTGATTACAGAAACAAGATTACGTTTTAAAATAATTATAAACATAATAATACATGTTCCGATATAATACAACACAGGTTATCAGTCAATTGAGAAGACAACTCCATCTCGTTTGTATTGTTTCTCATTGTGTTCATCTCGTTTGTATTGTTTCTTATTATGTTAATCTCGTTTTTATTGTTTCTCATTGTGTTCATCTCGTTTGGATTGTTTATCATTGTGTTCATCTCGTTTGGATTGTTTATGATTGTGTTCATCTCGTTTGTATCGTTTCACTACCTCTCCTTGACATCCGTCACGGCTGGTGGTGCCAAAACCACCATCGCCACAACCATCCGCTTGCGCCACAGATGTCCAACAGAGAACACTGGCACAGGCGTTGATGGCACCGGCGCGACCACAACTGCAAACTCTACAACCACGACTACTGTTGGTGGTGGCACAACCACCACCGGTACAACCACAACCACCACCATCGTCCTCTTGCACTGCAGCCGACCGGCGAGGAACACTGACAGCACCACAATCTCCATCCTCTCCACCATCACCATCGTCGCCATCCCCTTGCACCACGGACATCCTCCGGGAGACGCTGGTGCCTCTGGCTCGGCGCTGCGTGACCGGCGTGCGTTTGCGCGTTAGTCGCCGGCACAGGCGCACGAGTCGGCCCAGCAGTCCCCGCCGGCACAGGATGTAGACCCAGGGGTCCAGGATGGGGTTGAAGGACGCGAGACGGATGGCCAGGATGTCGCGGTTGTGTGGGATGTGGCGCTCCACCGGTGGACGGTGCAGCTGGTTCACGAAGATTCGCACCTGCGAGTCGTGGTGATGGTGGCGAGTGTTAGGAGTCAGGGTGGTGGTGATGGTGAAGGTTAAGAGTGTGGTGGTGGTGGTAGTGATGAGGGTTAGAAGGCAGGATGGTGAGAAAGGTGGTGGTGGATTGCGAATCAGGGTGGTGGTGATGGTAGTGAAGGTGAGGCCGGTGCGGGAGGCATGGGGCAGGAGCGGAGAAAATGGGGTTAGACGTGTGCATCATGGACATCAGGGAGACCACAGAGGGAGTCACAACAGTTGAGTCGAGATGTCATGAAGGTGCAGACAAGCATCTCAGTAACAGTAAGGACGCCTCTTGTGGGTGATTCTCCATAGGTGAGAATAAACATTTCTACAAGGTGGGAAACGTGAAAGTCTGGGGTGGATTGTGCAGCCGAGGTCGAAAATTGTGGGGGCAAGGTTCAAGTCCAGGTCGAGAAGGTGGATGGTGGGAGTGGGAGGAGAGTAATATTATTCCCAAAGCTTCGCACCTCGATTATTTTGATACCGAGTTTGGAGAAAGAGATCCAGCAGAAGACAGCAGCATCACAAGGGTCAAAGAACTGTAGGACTGTGTGTCGTCAGCATAGAAGTGTAGAGGTATGCTAATGGATGAGCTGAGTTTGCTAAGCGGAAGGAGGTAGATGGAGAAGAGGAGACTGAGAGCAGGACTTTGGGGGCCACCATGGAAAGGTCTCGAGATCGGAGATGTGCTTTGGATAGAGACGAAGGAGCGGTCAGAGCAGTCGAAAATGAACCAAGAAGAGATTTAGAAACAAGACCCACCCGAGTGAGACGACAATCCAGAGAAGCTGTGCGATCAACGGTATTAAATGTGGCAGAGAGATCGAGGAGAGCCAAGAGAGACATGAAACCACAATCTTATTTTTGTTTTCATATTCTTAGGTTTTTTCGGTAAAGTCACGTAGGTAAAACATCAAATTAATGAAAATAAAATTAAATAAAAATCACGACGTTTCGGAGGCAACACAAGTCTCCGTCATCAGGTGGGACCGTCACCGCCGGATTAGCTGCATCAAGTGAGGCAATGATTCAAGATGTAATCCCTTAAAAGCAAGTTGAGGGGGGAGGAGAGGGGGGGGAGCTCATCAGAATGTGCTAGCCAATGAATGGAATGTATCGGGAGGGAGGGGGGCAGGGCTCAAAGACGGCACGGAGTGCCACGTACAACGCGTGGTTGATAACATCTTTCCAATGATTACTAAGATGCTATCAACCACGCAAAAAAGACTTAATTACACTTTTTTGGACCATCTTATCTAACTGGCACTATTTTACTTCACTTTACCGAGTGTTAACATCCCCAGTGTTTAACAGTACTCTCTTCATTGTTCAGCCAGCATTGGTATAAACATGGGCATTTTCGTTCTTTTTCTATCATGTGTATCAGGCCTCCCCTCCCCCTCTCTGTCCAATGCGTTGGCGTGTGCAGCAGCAACCGCGTCCAAGCCGTCGTCCATCCTTTTGGCCCCGCCCCCCTCCCCCTCCCGATGCGTTGTACGTGGCACTCCGTGCCGTCTTTGAGCCCCGCCCCTCTCCCTCCCGATACGTTCCATTCATTGGCTACCACATTCTGATGAGCTCCCCCCCCTCTTCTCCCCCCTCAACTTGCTTTTAAGGGATTACATCTTGAATCATTGCCTCACTTGATACAGCTAATCCGGCTGTGACGGTCCCACCTGATGACGGCGACTTGTGTTGCCTCCGAAACGTCGTGATTTTTAATTTATTTTATTTTCATTAATTTTGATGTTTTACCTACGTGACTTTACCGAAAAAACCTAAGAATATGAATCCTTGCAGTCACGAAAGCTTCAAATCTAGAATTCTTTTTGTTTGTTGTATCTGATGTATGTATAGTTGCATTTTCTTTGATTTCTATTTTCTTCTTGTTGTGCTTTATTTCTCATGATTACATTCATCACTTTGATAACCCAGGTCAGTCACCCAGTGGACAAACAAAATAAGTGGTTCCTTACACAGGAAGCCGCGGACTCACCACGAGGGGAATGGAGCACACAAGGAAGACCACCGTCATCACCAGAAGGAGCCACAACATCTGCACCTCAGCGGCCGAGGGACCCAATGCCCGGAGGCCCCTGCGGTGCCACCGGCCCCTCCGGCTCGACTCCAACAGCCGTCCATCACTGCAGCCGGTGGCCTCACCACGAGAGCTGGCAGTCTCCTGGGTTGTGTCTTGCCTTGACTCCCTCTGAGACTCGCTCATCAACTCCTCTTTCTCCTGGGTCTCCTGGATTTCCACGTGATCCGCATCCACCCCGGACACCTTCGCCAACTGCTCCTTCTCCAGGAGACCGGGTGGCGTCTGGCTCAGCGGCAGACAGCGGCTGAGAGACACTGACGTCACGGGGTCAGGCTGCGAGGCCATGGGGGAGGGGTGACGCCGTGGTGGTGTCTGGACCGACGATGGAGAAGCCAGGAATGGCACCGTTCGGTCAGCTTGAGGTCTCGTCGAGAATCGGGGCGACCGCACCGACGCCGACGACCACCGAGCGTGGACGAGCATCGACGAACGACAACATCTGTGGCACGAAGATGCTTCGCCGACTTCACAAGCGCTGCTTGGAGCACATGAACCGCCACGCTCCAACTCCGGACAAACCAAGGGCGAGCCAGCGCCACCGCCGCTGCTGCCGCCACCGTCGTCACCGCTACCGCCCCTAACGGACGACAGAACCGTTCGAGCGAACGCAGTGGCGACAGAGGGGGACGAGGAGGGACCGGCGGAGACGCGTGACGTTCTAGTGCAGTGCCGAAGAACAGGAGGACGGTGGCGGTGGCACCACCACCGACACAGACGCCACCGACGAGCGCCAGAAAGTGCGACGCTTCATGCGCAGCAGCGCGCGGCACACGGCAATGTTGCAGAAGACGGTGATCGCGATGAGCGCCGCGCTGTAGCCACCGTACGCGAAGTTGTAGGCGGCGTGCGTCGGCTCCTCGCTGCGCCAGTCCAAGAAGCACCAGGTGCCGGGGAACTGGGCCACGCTGCGGCCCACGCCAGCGCAGGGCAATGCGCAGAGGCAGCCATTAATCACGTACAGCGCCGCGAGCGCCGCGCGGGCACGCCGGGCATCCACGTAGCGGTTGTACACGTACGGGTGGTTGATGGCGAGGTAGCGCTCCACCGACATGGCGCACAGGATGCTAATGCCGGCCGCACCGAAAAACAGCAGCGTGAAGGCGAAGAAGCCACAGAGCGCGTCGCCGCCGGGCCAGCCACCCCGCACGTAGCCGGCGATCACCACCGGCGAGCTCAGGCACGTGCCGAGAAGGTCGGTGATCCGCCAGACCGCACACCAATGCGTAGAAGGCGCCGTCCTTGCGGCCCCGCGGTGTCTGGGCCAGGGCCGCGATGGCTACGGCGTTGCCCAGGACGCCGAGTGCAAACATCGATGCCGGGGTTAGGACTGCCGACAGTGGCACGCGGGCACCGGAGCTGCCACCGCGGGACGATGAGGGTGTCAGTGGTGTCGGCGATGACGATGATGATGTTAGTGGTGGTGTCAGCAGAAAGAGTGAGTTGGTGTGATTTGGAGAACCAGCGATCGTGAGGGCTCCGCTGGCGTTAGCCATGATTATGTTGAGCACAAGAGACGATTCTGTGCTTTACACAGGCTGTACGCGCCGGTCATGAAAGGTTTTCGTTAATTGCTCTTGTTAATTAGAGTGCGGTGTGTGTTCACTGTCTGGAAAGGTGCTAATTGTGTGGGAATGTCCTCGCCAAGAGAAACGCAATGCGAGAAACAAAGCGTAAGGGACTCTCGCTTGCTCATTGTGCAGAGACAGAGACATTTCGACACCCTCGGTGTTGCTGTTGGACTCTCACATCAACACCGCTGCCCCATAATGTTAACTCTGTTAAGCAAATGTGTGCTGAAAGTCAAAAACCATCGTAATTTCAAGACACACAATACACGTGGCTAGAATCTGAGATTTGTTAAATAATCTTAGAGGACTACTTTGCTCACAATGAGACAAGACATTCAGAGACTGCTAGCCAATGGTGGACACACACAGACAGAGCCAGGGCCAAATCCCTCACTCACTATTTTCCGGGTCCCTGTGAGACTCGAGTACTTGACTTCATAAAAAATTGTTCACCTGGAAATTCCTTCAGTTGGAATCATCTCGTTTATAAGGTGTCCAGAGTAGTTGGCATGCGACAAGTAGCAGTAACCACAGCCATAACAATAGATATACTCGATGTGGTGTGCCGGGTGCACAAATATTATCTGGGTTGCCAACCAAAACATACCTGGCCAAAACGAATCCCCGAGGGGACGTGCGTGTGTATGTAGTATGCGTGTCTGTAACTGAATACTGTTTGTGACGAGGTGTGGAGAGATGGTGTAGAGCCACTCAGTGTGACGGCTGCTTTCCCCGTGCTAATTCACACGTTCTACTCTCGTCACCGACTGCCGCGCCCCATAAGGTGCGAGAGAGGCGGTGGTGCCAGTTTCAGGAGCCGGCTGCCGTGCGCCGTTGTTACAGCCCAAACGCCAGACGAGAAAAATCACCCACGGGTAAAACGACAAAATAATCCTTGTATTGAATCTCCAGGCTTTCTTGTGTTGTCAATGTTCAAATAAAGGTTATGGAAGTAAATTGAGAATTTGTTTAAATCAATAGTAATATGTCTCCACACAATTCCAAGCTCCCAGTTCTTACGGTGGACGTGTTCACAGTGAGGGCAGTGAATTCCTGCTAACTGCCACTGCTGTTGCCGCTGCTGCTGCTGCCGCTGCTCCTGTCACTGCCACTGCTGTTGCAAAAGCGCTGTGGCTGTTACACTCCTCCTTGGTTCATTTCACCTGAGCTCAATGGATTCTCTGGAACGCCGATTAGATTTTCATTCTGAATTAATATTTATGGACATACGCATTCGTACGTTGTATGAATTGCGTTTTTTTGTAATTGAATGTATTGATTGATCTGTGCGTCTGTGAGCTACAGGCGAAGAGCGGCCGTGGCTTTCGCCAATATTGTGTGACGCTAGTTAAACAGCGAGCTCGTTAACTAGACGGCTAGATTGTTAGACAGCTAGTTCATTATCTGGATGCTGTCACGCTGAGAGTGCTTGCAAATTCTGTGCCATTGTAATTCATGTTTTGTTTCGCGCAGTAAAAATCCGACGCGAGAATCATCCCTGGCGATGTCAAACAATGGCACGGCGTTTACTCCGTGGGGCGACGATGAACGCCAGTGCCTCGTTGCGCCAGCGACACCAATTCATCCTACCAACGTGATCAAGCGGCCAGCAACAAACAGCACTATCAAAGTATGGTAGTTAAGAGTGTGTGACACGTGTCTAGAATATAGCAGGGCTGTTTATGTGCTTGGGAAAAGAGACAATGGGAGGGAATCCCAAAGTTGGGTCCGTAACGTGATCCCCGGAATGATGGGCTAACTGAGAAGGCAGTCTCGCTAACGGTCAAAATGTGCGCATCTATACTACAGAGTAATATTTACTATTTGACTTGTGTTTAACAATGGGTTTACAGCGCTCGAACGCGCCGTCAGGACTAAACGAATTAACAAGGTATGCATAAGTACACATTAATGGAATTGGCCAAATGTCTGAATATAGGACCACAGAGCTGGACATTTGCTGGCGCTGTTTCTGGCTGCTCTTCCCACTCGTCTGCTTTCTTGAGCATCCGTACGAAATAAAACTGCGCGTTACGAATTCTACAGCGCTGAGGCACAAAGTGGCTTCAAACATGCTGTCAAAATTTTACGCACGTCACAGGATTGGAGAATTCAACAGGTCTCCCACCCGTGAAATAAAAGTAGGCAATTACGTATGTATAATTAACGCTCAGCACATGCGCTTACGGTGCGTGTCGTCCTTTATGTTTAAATAAGATTAACCCCGAGGCTGCCTCGACAGGAAGAGGTAATGAATTTCAAAGCGCTCCCAATTATCAGAAGCGCTTCAGAGACAAAGATCTCCGTATAGTCTACAGAACCTGTTGGGGCAAGGCTGTTTGCGAACACCTAAGAAGTCTTAACACCACGCTTGCCCTGCGGCCTTTGTCTCCCCAGTGCTGTTGGGTACTATTTCTGTTTGGTACCTTGGGGAGGGCCAGAATCGAGACCGGTGAAGATATTTGCGACTGATCTTGGCCATCAGCGGGAATGAAACTCGATTCACCGGGTTCGTTGCGATCTAACCACAACGCTACCCCACCCATGCACAAACACACGCACGCACGCTGTATTATTCAATCAAGGAAGTGTGTATGTGTCTGCGTGCGAGCCATGTCAAGTGCTGTCACACCTGCCTAGTAAAAAACGCGACATCATAGGCGATGGTTCCCTACGTGGGGTCGGTACTGGTGAGTGCTGGTGAGGATATTGGTGAGTTTCTACTGGTGAGTGTACTGGTGAATGTGTGCTAGTGAGTGCCGGTGACTGTACTTGTGAGTGCTTGCCGAGTTCATAAGAGTCAGAGTTGCCGGTTCAATCTGTGGATCAAAGACAAAAACACAAGAATGTTGAATACAAACAAAGACAAAGATCCTCCATATAGCCATTAACAGATTAACGGGTCAAGTGCTATTAGCGAGCACCTATTCAAACTTTAACGAAACACGAAGGGGCGGGTGGCCAGACCTACGACCGGCCGTCTTTGTCTCCCTAGTGGCGACGTTTACACACCGCACCAGGTACTCATTTGAGGCCGAGTCGACCTACACACACTCAACACGACGCAATAACAAACACACACACTGCCACTTTGTGGTGACAGGAGAGTCAGAGTCAATGGCATGATTGAGGCTGGCATCAGTGTGTGAGCAGCAGACCCCATTGTGCATCACAAGTTGTGTTTATGAAGGCGCAGCTCTGCAACTGCTCGTTCAAGCCACTGTTGGTGGAATGGGCTTCCACGGGAGAGAGCCAGACATGTTGGAAAAATGTATTATAGTGTATTCACATTTGACCTCGCCACAGGAAACTAACACGCCCATCGACTCCAGTGTGACGGTGTTACCCTTTAGTAATGCTGGGTGGGTGGACAGAGGGGTGGGTTGAGCACCCCCATCGGGAGAACTGCCACGCCGTGAGACCGAACCCAAGCAGCCGGCACCGCTCCCTGTGGAGTGCACCGCCGCTGCCAATGCCGCTGCCGCTGCTGCGTCCGTCCCCTGACGATTGCCCTCCAGGAGTACTGAGAACGTAACCCAGAGATTGAGATGGCGACTTCGTCTTACAAACTTGCTGAGCATATGCCCAATAGGCCCCTAAAACATCAAGCGGCTAGCAACAAACAGTACGTACTATCAACACTTTTAGTGGATAAGACATACACATGTTTTTTGCAGATTTCTTGAATTGAGCACTTATTATTAAGAGCATGGGTAAAAGAGACGATGATGGGAGGGAATTCCAGAGTGAAGTAGTGCGGTGTGGTGATGAGACGAAACCGTGAGTCTGTACTCTTTGGTTCTTTCGGTAAAGTCACGTAGGTATAAAATAATTTATATTTCACGGATCCCTGCAGTCACGAAAACTTCAAATCTAGGGTGAGAGTCTGGTCGAAGCGAGTCCTCGACACGGGTGGAGGAATTGACGAGAGACGTTCACGGGAACAGGTGACCACGATCCCGGTCCGCAATCAACAACTTCCCCAAGAGCACGTCCATCAGTGGAGATGGAGCGATGAAGTCGGCTCGCGCGCAGGAGCGACACGAGTTAGACTGGAGATTTCTCAATCCAACAGTGGAAATATCATAGCTGACGATTTGACGACAATGACGACTAACCAGGCACGACCTGCTTAGCATCGCACGGCCCGCGTAGCTGCTGCCACCCTCAGCACCACAGCGTGAGCACACAGAGGGAGCGTGGTGCCGCGAATCGGTAGTCCAGTTCACACCAACACCGCTTGTTCATTTATTTCGTCGTCGCAGTCACAATATTACAAACCCAATTCATTATCATTAATCGTGCTTATAATTAACGCTATAATATACAGTAGTTAGGTCAATTAGTATAATTAGTGCATCGATGGTAATAGTCGGTCACGTGATGCGTTCTCACCTGAGTTCGCTCTCCCCTTACTCCCTTCTCGCATTCTCTGTCCCACCGCCTCTCGCTCTCTCCCACCTTCTGAAGCGCTCGCTCGTCACCGTGGCGTGCGCGATGACCACCACCACCACGTGACTTTTCTTTCGTGTTGTGCGCGCTGCATTTAGCGCCATAGCGCGTGGATTTGTAGCGTTTATTTTATTTTATTTGCTGGTGACTGTGTATTTCATATTGAAATCGCATCCAGTGCTTTTGCTGCTGGCGGCAATAAAAGTTGTTTAAAAGTCAAAGTCTCCCACTCCCTCTCTCCCTCGCAGCGCTGCGCGTGGACTGAACTCAATTCATCCGTGCCGACGTCACCACCTCCACCGGCCGTGCTGACGTCACTACACCCACCAGCCGTGGTGACGTCACAAAACCAACACCTGTGCTGACGTCACGAGCGGCACCTTGCAATTTTAAGATGCGGATTTAAAAAAAAAAAATCGATTATTTGCGACCGCGTTCCAATGATCCGCGCGAATCGTGAGCGCAAGTGTGAACCATAACGACCTGTGAATGGTTCGGTAACAGCAGTGGAGGCACCCGCACCGAGATGCCCTCCACGGGTCCCGAGAGCCACCGCCGCGTCCTTCACGGGCCACGGCCCCGGCGCTTACACAACGAGGCCTCGCGACCGCTGCTGCTGCTCCCGCGAGTAATAATAACAATAGTACAATTTGTAACGCGCGCAAATTTGCAGACGTAGTGGCCGCAACTCAGAGGCGCGGAGCCAAGCTCAGAGTCGCTCAAAAGCATGATTGTAGAGGTGAGTTTTTAAGTGTCTCTTGAAGGAGGCGATTGAGGTGATGCTGCGAATGTGCAGAGGGATATCGTTCCAGACTGTATGGAGGCATCGGCGCTCCTCTCCCGATTGCAACCCTGCTGTGGAGCCAATGGTGGAAATTCCTCGTTCCTATGGCGAGCGAAAGGCTATCCATAAAGAAGATCCCTGTTGACTGTTACCCATCTTATCGACCCCCCCTCCACAACGATTTGAATTCGCAACCTTCCGACTGCGCCGCTCGCTCGACCACTGAGCCCCCTGTCCCGAGTCTCACGGAGAGGCCATTCGGAACAACCTCGCCTGGCATGTGGTCACGTCGGCGCTGGGGGAATCTGCAGATCGCACAGAGATGTGGCCAGCTAGCCGTCGGGGTATGCTGCCACACCATCTCCTCGTGCGCTATTCCAGCCCCAACACCCGGGCTGATGCTGCTAATGATGATGACGGTCGTGATGAAGGGAGACGTCCCGAGAGGAACCGGTCGAATAGCAATAACTGTGGCGCGCTGCTTCGCGTTAAGTGTTATTGACCCCTGCAGAGGTCAGTGTGTGTGTACTCACGTGTGTACTCACGTGTGTGCGCGTGTACACGTGTATGTGTGTGTACTCACGTGTGTGTGTGTACTCACGTGTGTGTATGTACACGTGTGGGTGTGTACACGTGTATGTACACGTGTATGTGTGTGTACACGTGTACGTGTGTGTGCGTGTACACGTGTATGTGTGTGTACTCACGTGGGTGTATGTACACGTGTATGTGTGTGTACTCACGTGTATGTGTGTACTCACGTGTATGTGTGTATGTACACGTGTATGTACACGTGTATGTGTGTATGTACACGTGTGTATGTACTCACGTCGATGTGTATGTATACTCACTTGTCTGTGTGAACCCCTGAGAGAGAAGGCGACTCAAACCCAGGGCTTGACCCCAGGATCTCAGCGGTGCTGACGACTCAGTGCCCCTGACACGGCCATTGTGAATCCTTGGGGAAAATAAAATAATAATAATCGGTGTTGCGCAGTGGAGTCGAGTGTTGGGTGCTTGGGGAGCGATATCGTGCAGAGCCGTGCGGGCGAGATAAGCGCGTGTCCTTATGTTTGCGGTTAGTGTATGAATATGCACATGACGCTATAGGCAAAGATCCCCGTGCAGCCTACACAGCCTGTTGGGGCAAGTGCAGGAAGCGAGCACCTACGACGGCTGGCACGACGCAGATAGGAGGTCACGTAGGCAGAATCACGCCAAGCACGGCCGCTTTTGCTCAACAGGTACTCCTTAATTTAAGTCTGAGTGGACCTATCCAAGGCACAGGACCAGTTCAAATATTCGTCTCTAATCTTGTCCGTGGCATACACACAACAGCAACAACCGCCGTCCACCACTGAGTGGCGGTGACGTCACCACGGCGCTTGTGCCATGCTAGGCGCACTTTGACGCCACGCAAAGTGTCGAAGGCCCGCTGGCATGAGGTTACGGAACAGACCGAGGTGTCATGGCTTGACTAAGACGACTGCATGGAAGATGCACCCACCTGTGTTCCCCACTGTGTCAACTCTGCGTTTTAGCCGCTCTGCGCTCCGCTCATTGTTGTGAACGTCGCACATCTGCCATCTGTTGTTGCTGAAGGACGACTGCCTCCAACTTCCCAGCAGCGTCCTCCACGAACCTTCTCCACAGAGGCCGACCTTGACACTGTTGGTTCCATACACACATTCACATTCCCAAGCACATAAAAAACAGTGCACTATCACTCCCCACACTCGCGCACATCCCACACACACACACACGTACACCCCACGCACACACACACATCTCACACACACACGCACATCCCACACACACACACACATACCACACACACACACACATCCCACACATACATACATCCATTTCCGACACACAAACACGTACATCCCACACACACATCCCACACACACACGCACATACCACACACGCACACCCCACACACACATCCCACACACACATACATTCCCGACACACACACACACATCCCACACACACATACCACACACACACACACATTCCCGACACACACACACATTCCCGACACACACATCCCACACACACACACATCCCACACACACGCACATCCCCACACACATCCCCCCCACACACACATCCCCCCCACAGACACACATCACACACACACATCACACACACATATCCCACACACACTTCCCACATCCCCCCCACACACATCCCCCCCACACACACATCCCCCCCACACACACACATCCCCCCCCCCACACATCCCCCCCCCACATACACACATCCCACACACACATCCCCCCCACACACACACATCCCCCCCCCACACACACACACATCCCCCCACACACACACACACATCCCCCCCACACACACACATCCCCCACACACACACATCCCCCCCACACACACATCCCACACACACACACACATCCCCCCCCCCCCCCCCCCCCACACACACATCCCCCACACACACACACATCCCACACACACATTCCCCCTCCACACACACATCCCACACACACACACACATCCCACACACACATCCCCCACACACACACCCCCCACACACACACATTCCCGACACACACGCACCACCCACACACACACGCACATCCCACACACACGCGCACATTTCACACACACGCACATTCCTTACACACACACGCACATCCCCCCACGCTAACACACGCGGGTGTTTGTTACC